TCCAAGTTTATATTATTAAATATTATTTATTTTATTTTATTAATTTTATTTCAATCATTTTCAATGTTATCTCGTTATAAACTCCGCTAGATATAATCTTAAAAATATTCATTGCCAAGCGTTTTATAATAATAATTATTACTACTTATGAAAAATTCTATCTTTTTGAAGTTTCTGCTTTATAAAATTAATGTCTCGTGCAATTCTAGCACAATTTCCTTTAAAAGACCTCGAATGGCATCGTTAATGGCTGATACAAAATATTAATGGAAAATTTTCCAAAAAATATATAATCAATGGGCCCTAATAATGAATCTTCTGTTAAAACAAAAATATTTGGCTTATTGGCAAATTTATTAATGTATGAATATCTTACACTACTTTCTTTTATTCAGATATCTATGTATCGAATGATACATGTATCATGAGAGTATCTTTGAAGCGACCCATATCGACGACTCCGATGTTGTGCCAGGTTGGTTCTGACGTGATGTTTGCCGATATAACCTGATCCTTTGTTTCATTTGTTTGCTTGAAAATGCTCATCTGCATGATATTAGATTTTAATGAACGGGCTTTTGAATTAATCCGGGGATTATTGTTTTTAATAAATTTCATTTCGTGCGGGCAGGCAATGTTTGTGTTCAGTTTCGAAGTTTTCATTGTTGTGAACTTATTAATTGATTAATTATTTAATTAATCAACTAATTAATCAACTAAATAAAATCCAACATCTTAAAAAGTGTGAGTGTGAAATGTGGATACCGACAATGAAAAAAAAACAACAAAACGTGTGGTATGCGGTGGAGAAAGCTTCATATACCTAGCGTATCTTGATGGAGATTGAAATTTCACCTGCCTATTGTAATAGTTTAAATTTCTGATTCAAATGTTTAGGCCCACCTTGTGACATGATAAATTACGACTGCTTGGATTTTGATGAATTTGATGAAATTTGATAAGTTGAAATAAAATAGACAAAATTTTTTTGATCGTGCGTTCAGACGGGTGGCAACATAGTGGCACTTGAAGTGGACATGTACAGAGGCATGATATTTTGGGGTGACAACATCAATGACGACTCAAGGAGGGGGCTGTACAGGGCCTACCTGGATGCCAGCAACATCACGCGAATCATCTCTGACGGTTCAGCCACTTTTTTAATTTAAAACAGAATTCGCGGTCGATTTAATTTAATAGATTCAACATAATTTTTTTAATTTTTCCCTCAAAGCGTTGAATAGTTGTCTTCCCTACAAGTCATCTGTAAATTTTGCTTCATGACACACAATCTTTTAGTTATAGGTATTAATCTATATTAACAAAATTCATTTAACACTGGCAAACTCTCTGAAAAAAGTAAAAATAGCTAAAATTGGAACGAACAGTCTGACATGTTCCGAAAATGTTGGTGACGTCACATAAAAATGACACATTCCCAAAACTTGCACAGATATTGGCCGCATAGAAGGCATCTCGTTGGATGTGCTGACTGGCAGCATCTACTGGACGGACGCGGAAAGGGGCTACATTGAGTCATCAGACTACAACGGACGCAACAGGAGAATCGTCGTGCACGCGGACATCATAGAGCCGAGAAGTCTCATTGTTGATCCTCTTAACGGGTAGGCAGGAACCTGCGCTGGATTTTTTTCTGATTGTCGAGGAACTGCTTCGTTGATGAAGCTCATTCAATCAAACGAAATAATTACACCGCATAGGTTTTTTTACTAACTTGCAACTTGTTTCTTGAAAACTTCGACATATTCGCACGCAGATGGTTGATGTGGAATGACCAGCAAAAGAAGACGATAGAGATGTCCAGGTTGGATGGCCAGTATCGAAACGTGTTGAGTTCGTCTCCGCAGGTCCAAATGCCCAACCAAATGAGCCTCGTTCGTTTGACTGACAATCAATGGTTGGTTGGTTGGCTGGTTGGCTGGCTGGCTGGCTGGCTGATTCTTCAAACGTGTGATGCATTGTTTGACAAATGTCGAACATTTGATCTGACCTGAATTATATCAATGCACTAATGTTCTGTTTAGGATTTAAAAAAAACATCAACTACAAAACATGGATGCAATTAAAAACATCGCACTGTTTTATCTTACGAGTAACAATTATTTGAATTGAAAGAGAACTTTTTCAAAGACAACCTCATCAGTGAAATTAATGAACACACACTGCAGGAAGTTATTTTTCACCGACGCTGGTGATCAGAGCATCAAGTCCATCACACTGATGACGACGACCTCCACAACGACATCCAACAACAACAACATCAACAACAACAACATCAACCACAACAACACAGTATCATCTGTCAAATACACTGGAAACATCTCTCTGACCATTTCAGCGGTCCAAGTGGAGTTCACTCTTAAGGATATTTTAAACAAGACGGATTTCCTGTTTGGACTGTTTGTATCCCACGACGCACGGACGTTGTACACGACTACTTGGGAACAGAACAGTCTTATAAAAGTTAATCTAAAAAATGATATCAACAATACAAAAAACACAAGCAACAACACACTGAATGGAAACACTCTGACGTCATCCAACAACACGAACAACACAACAAACAACGCAATCAACATATATGAAATCCTGTTAACACATTTAGGAGAGAATCATTTGTTCAGTATAGCTGCTCCACTTGAAAATTTTGTTGGTAGGTTGGTTGGCTAGTTGCTTGGTTGATTTGTTCACTAGTTGGTTGGTCGGTTGGTTAGATGCATGGCTGGTTGAATGGTTGGCTGCTTTGTTGGTTGGTTAGTAGGTCGGTTGGTTGGTTGATTTGTTGGTTGGTTGGTTAGTTAGTTGTTTGTTTGGTTGGTTGTTTGTTTGTTTGGTTGGTTAGTTGGTTTGTTAGTTGTCTGTTGGTTTATCAAATCTCTGAGTGGGTTTGCAAATATTTGTGTGATGTTGTTAGCCCTGATTCTGATGCAAAAGAGATTGAGAGGTTCATGTTTCTTATTAATGCGATGATGATGTTAGTGCTGATGTTAGTGCTGATGTTAGTGCTGATGTTAGTGCTGATGTTAGCGCTGATGTTAGCGCTGATGTTAGCGCTGATGTTAGCGCTGATGTTAGCGCTGATGTTAGTGCTGATGTTAGTGCTGATGTTAGTGCTGCATTGCATGTTAAACGAGGCCCGCAACAGCTGTGCACAAAACTGATCTGTTGTTGTTGCGAATGAATATAATGTAGGTGATGATGATGATGTTGATAACGAATGTGATGATAACGATGATAATGATGAGGATGATGATGATAACGATGGTAATGATGAGGATGATGATGATAACGATGATTATGATGATGATGATGATGATGATGATGATTATGATTATGATGTGGTGATGTCGTTATATTGCTGGCGATAATCATTAATGTGATGAGCGTGGTGGTAGCGATGAAGATGGTGAAGTATCCTCTTGTTGATCGCACAATGTACATGAAAATGAGCTTTGCCGTTGTTAAAATTGTTCCAAGATTTTAAAGAAAGTAAAGTTGTATAATTAATCGAAATCCTTCCCTACAGACAACTACAAACAACTTCAAATTTATATGTCTCCTGACGCAAACCCCGACAACAGCAGCAGCAGCAGAGTTAACTTGCCTTGTGCGAAACCAAACCGAGGCGA